GGCTAATTCTTCCCTGAATGACACCACCCTTTGAGCCAGCCCGTAGGTCGGCATAAGACTTCACTCTGATGATCTATTACACCAATACATCACCGCGGTGAGCTGCCTCCTTAATGATTTATCCATAACACATCATCGGAGTGAGCCACACTCATAATATATTGCTCAATAAGTCTGCGGTGGCCAAGGGAGAGAGCCACGGACAGCGGCCGAGTGCATGCCCTTACACGGTTGGTGTCAGCGTGCAGGGCCCATGCTGGGCTCCCCGCTTCCTAAACAAATGTGTATATAGGTGGGAGGGCTCTCGTGCCAATAGGCTTTTAAAACATGAAGAACCATGACCTTAAGAAAGTCCTATAAATCCTGAGCAGCAAAGCCCCTCAGTGGGTAGTGGGGGCTGCCCTTCTAAGCCTGTCAAGCAGGTAGGAAACATTTGCTTTAAGCTCTTACTTAGGAGGCCAGGGCCCATGCACTGCACAACTCCAAGGGGCGCCATTCACATCACCGTCTGTGCAAATGGTGCCCCCACGAGTTGTGCAATGTGCAGCCTGAGCCACCTCACACCACAGCCCTGTAGGAGGCCCTGGGTAAGAGCATAGATCCTGGCATCAGACTGCCTCATCGGAGTCAAGGTTCTGGGACTAATGGTCCTATTCACTACATTGCTATGAGATGGAACAGGACGCTGTATGCAGAGCACCTATTAGTAAGCACTCCATGTGAGCACGACTGGTAGCAACCTTAATGAGTCCGGAGAGTCAGGAATCCTGGAGGTCCACAGCAGGCAGCCCCTGAGGATTGTGCTCTTCATTCTGCGGGATCCTATCTCATTTTTACGTATTTATATCCTGCATCATTGCAAAGAAAAAGGAGGAAGGGTGGAGAAGAGAAGGCTCACAGAAGTCCATTCTAGGATAAAAGTAAGTAGATGGGGGGGCACCTGGGTGGCTCAGTCGTTAAGCGTCTGCCTTCGGCTCAGGTCATGACCCCGGGGTCCTGGGATCGAGCCCCGCATCAGGCTCTCTGCTTGGCGGGAAGCCTGCTTCTCCCTCTCCCACTCCCCCTGCTTGTGTTCCCTCTTTCGCTATCTCTGTCTGTCGAATAAATAAGTAAAATCTTTTAAAAAAATAAATAAATAAGTAGATGGGGACATTTGGGCAAAAGGAAAGAAAGATTTAGCCAAGTTTAAGCAAAAGTAGTGCACCAAAACAACACCAAGAACGGGCCAGGGCGAGGATCGTGCTGGAGAGCACATTCACATTGCCCAGAAAAGGAAAGATGGGCACACCCTATGGCCCAGCAATCCACTCCCACGTGTGCGCCCTGGCCCAGAGGAACTCTCCGGCACACATGCGCAAAGAAACAAATAGAATAATGTTCTCTGCAACATCCGGAGACAGGGCAAAACTGGAAACGTCCACCAGTAGAAAAATAAACACGCAACAGTGATAGCCAGGTCTTGAAGAGTGCACACTGTGCGCCAGGCTTATTTTAAAAGCTTCACAGCTTACATCATTTAATCTTCACATCGACTGAGGTAGGCGCTATCATTTGCCCCATCCTATGGCTAAGGAAACTGAGGCTCAGAGAGGCTGATTTGCCCAAGGTCGTAGAACTAGTAAGTGGCAGAGCTGGGATTTGAACCCTGGCATTCTGGCCCCAGGCCCATGCTTTGAAACACCGTATCATCATTTGTCTAGTCTTCGAGGGGAATACTACACAGCAGTGAAAAATGAATTAACTAGAGCTACATGTGTCAACAGAGGGAAGTTTCAAAGTAAAATCCTTGAGTAAAAAGAACAAATTACAGAACGATACATATAGCACAAAGCCACTTATAGAATGTTTTTAAATATGCAAAACGATACCATATGTTTGTTACAGGGGCATATGTTTGGAGAAAATTTCTTATTTTTTGAATAGGAAGGGCTAGAGCAAGTCCAGGAAGAGATGTCCCACAGGGGTGGGAGGTGGGAGAACAGGTTCGGGACCTGGTGCTCGGAGGGCTTCAATCTGTCTTTGCTAAGTTTGACAGGGATATTTGTTATATATTCTCTGTAATTTTTGTAAGCCTAAAATATTTCACAATTATCAAAACAAATGTCATCATAAATTCCTCTATCAGCTGCATGTGACTGTAACTTTACCTCTGAATTTACTCACAGCCAAAGCGAAGAGGGAAACTAAGGTACCAAATTGGCCAAGACCACGAGAGTAAGCCACGCCAGGTGTTCAGAAGACATACAGGTTTTCTTTGCATCGGGATGGACGGGAATTTCACCCATGGGTCCTCACAGGGGAAAAGACGGTTAATAACATCCCTACAGAAATGTAAGGGGGGAGGGAGCTGCACACAACCATGTTCTAGCATCTCCCTGTGCATGCCAATGGCGTAATGTCAACGCAGGACTCAGAAGGAGCTGCTCTCTGAGGGGGACATCTCTACGGCCAGTGTCTGGGACCTTCCCACAGAAACTGGCCTGTGTGACTCAGGAGCAAAGCAGGCGGACCCTGGAGGGGAATGAAATAACCTCGACTCTGGACAGGACTCTCCCTCCCACGTCTGCTCCTGGCTCTGGGACACACGGTGTGGACACAGGCCCAGGCAGCCAGTGTCTCTGCAGATGGAGAAAATGGAACAGTGGCAGCCCTGGGATCAGAAGGCATCCACCCTCTGCCTTATGCTGCCCTCCATCACTTGCACTTCTCACATCCAGGGCCCTTCCGGCTGTGTTTAAACCTCTGGTTCTTACCCTCATCGTACAAAGCAGGGAGTCAAGAGGTAGTGGATGGAACAAGAAATAGAGGGTAAGTACTTTATGTGACTCTAATAGTGGGATTCGTAATAAGAAATACATGTTGGGGGGCGCCCGGGTGGCTCAGTCGTTAAGCGTCTGCCATCGATCGGCTCAGGTCATGATCCCAGGGTCCTGGAATCGAGCCCCGCGTCAGGCTCCCTGCTCAGCCGGAAGCCTGCTTCTCCCTCTCCCACTCCTCCTGCTTGTGTTCCCTCTCTAGCTGTCTCTCTCTCTGTGTCAAATAAATAAATAAAAATCTTTAAAAAAAAAAAAAAAGAAATACATGTTGGTCTCTGCCCCCAGCTCCTAACACAGAGCTCCTGAAACCCTCATAATTTCTGATAGGAGGGATAGGAGTATCTTTTATTCTACTAAGGTGACTCTGGGTGGGTTCCTGGATGGCTCCTGGATGAGGGCTAGTCACTGGAAAATCCAAACCATAATTAGAAGCTTGGAATTTTCAGCCCCGCCCCCGCATTCCCTTGAGAAGGGAGAAGGGCTGAAAGTGGAGTCAATGCTCACTCATGCCTGCGTGATGAAGCCTCCATAAAATCCTGTAAGTACGGGGTTCTGAGAGCTTCCAGGGTGGTGAGCACGTGGAGGGAGGTGCTGGGAAACGACGCACCCAGAGAGGGCATGGGAGCTCCGCACCCCTCCCACATACCTTGTCCCATGCATCTCTTCCCTCTGGATGGCCTCTGTATTCATTATCATAGGCTTTAAGAAACTGGTAAATGTGTTTCCCTGATTTCCGTGAGCTGCTCTAGCAAATCAATTGAACCCGAGAACAGGGCTGTTGGAACTTGAGATCTATAGCTGGTTGGTTGGAAGTATAGGTGATAATCTGGCCTTTCCACTGGCATCTGAAGTGTTTGCGTGTGTGTGTGTGTGTGTGTGTGTGTGTGTGTTGAGGGGCAGCCTTGTGGGACTGAGCCCTTAACCTAACCTGTGGGATCTGACACTATGTCTGGGTAGACAGTGTCCGAATTAAACTGTAGGACACCAGCTGGTGTAGCAGACAATGGCTTGTTGTGTGGAACCCCCCACTCCCTGCCACTTTTGGTGACCAGAAGTCAAGCGTTTTATGTGAGTAGTAAAGTCAAGTCATGGGGAGAAAGGCAGTAGAGAAGAACTGGGTTGTTCCCTGCATAGGAAAGAGGAAAACCGAGTTTCCCTTATAGTGATCCCAAAGGCAGAGGAACCATATTAGTTTCCTAGGGTTGCCATAACAAACTGCCACAAAGCTTAAAACAACAGCAACGTACCGCTCACAGTCTGGAGGCCAGAAGTCTGAAATTAAGGTGTCGGCAGGGCCAGGCTCCCTCCGAAGGCCCTGGAGAGGTTCCTGCCTTGCCTCTTGCAGCCTCTGGCGGCTGCTGGCAACCCTTGGCGCTCCTTGGCTGGTGGCGGCACCTTGCTCCAACCTCTGCCTCGGTCTCCACATGGCTGTCTTTCCTCTTTGCGTGTGCCTGTTTCCAAGTCCCTCTCTCCCTCTGAGGATGCCAGTCATTGGATTTAGGGCCCGCTCTACTCCAGCATGACCTCATCTTCACCTGATCACATCTGCAAAGCCCCTGCTGCCTAATAACGTCACATTCACAGGCACCAGCAATTAGGACTTTGACATACCTTTTTTGGGGGGTGGGGGAAAGGGTACAAAATTCAACCCCAAACAGAACCTTAGTAAGTGTTACTACACAGAGGAACTAAGGGGGTAAATGCCGCTGTGGAAGAAGAGAGAATCGAAGTTACCTGTCATCTCTCCTAGCAGAAAGCCAGGAGGTGACGACAGCAGCTGGGGGTATGAACCCCCCTGAAGCTACTCACCAGAAGCACCAAACACAGAAAGAGTTAACCATGGTTGGCCCCAGGGACGGGCTGACGAAGGAGGCGGCAGACAGCCTGGAAATGTGAATATGGACTGGTTATCAGGTAATATTACAGAATTACTGTTAATTGCCACTTTGTTAAGCTTAATAATGGTAATGGTGTTGATGTAAGAAAAGGTCTTATTTTTCAGAGAAGCAGGCTGAAGCCTTGGGTGAGAGTGGTCATGTCTGGACGTACTTTAAGATACAGAAAAATGTATCGATAAGCAAAATCTTCAGAGAAGATCTAGATGAGCAAATAGAGCAAAATATTAATAATGGTTAAGTCTACATGATGAACATATGGAGGATCATACCATTTTCTCTACCCTTACAAGTGTTTGCATCATCAAAATTTATTTTTTTAATTTAAATTCAGTTAATTAACATATAATGTATTCTTTGTTTCAGGGGTACAGGTCTGTGATTCATCAGTCTTATATAATACCCAGTGCTCATTACAATTACCCTCCTCAATGTCCATCACCGAGTTACCCCATCCCTCCACACCCCTCCCCTCCAGCAACCCTCAGTTTGTTTCCTGATTAAGAGTCTCTTATGGTTTTTCGCCCTCTCTGGTTTCGTCTTATCTTTTCCTCTCTTCCCCTATGATCCTCTGTCTTGTTTCTTAAATTCCACATATCAGTGAGATCATATGATACTTGTCTTTCTCTGACTGACTTAGTTCGCTTATACCCTCTAGTTCCATCCACGTCATTGCAAATAGCAAGATTTCATTTTTTGATGGCTGTGTAATATTCCTGTGTGTGTGTGTGTGTGTGTGTGTATACACACATCTTCTTTATCCATTCATCTGTCGATGAACATCTGGGCTCTTTGCATAGTTTGGATATTGTGGACATGGCTGCTATAAACATCGGGGTGCATGTACCCCTTCGGATCCCTACGTTTGTATCTTTGGGGTAAATACCCAGTAGTGCAATTGCTGGGTCATAGGGTAGCTCTATTTTCAACTTTTTGAGGAACCTCCATACTGTTTTCCAGAGTGGCTGCACCAGCTTGCATTCCCATCCATAATCAAAATTTAAAAGTGAGAAGGTTTGGGGGCGCCTGGGTGACTCAGTTGCTTAAGCCTCTGCCTTCAGCTCAGGTCATAATCTCAGGGTCCTGGGACTGAGCCCCAAATTGGGCTCTCTGCTCAGCGGGGAGTCTGCTTGTCCCTCTGCCCCTTCCCCTGCTCATTCTCTTTCAAATAAATAAATAAAATCTGAAGAAAAAAAAAAAGTAAGATTTTAAGTATTTAGTAAGTCTTGGAATGTGCTTGCTCTCCCCATCTTCGCAGCTCTTCTTGGACCAAAGACCCAGAGAATAGGGCTTCCAAGGTCTTGTAGCTCAACCCCCTTATTTCACAAATGGCTAAAAAGGTTGAATGATTTTCCAAAGTCACACAGCCAACAAGTTGATGAGTCGGGGCTGGGCCAGGATCTCCAAGAGCCTCATCGAGTGCCCCAGCTGCTCTCCATACCATCTTCTGCCTCAGTTGTGCGCTAAAGGAGATATTTTTAAATGTCAGTAAACAATGGAGGTACACTCAGTTCTTTTTTTTTTTTTTTTTTTATGGCAGACATTGCCTATGGGTCACTGAGTTCTCATATATAAGAAATCTTGATTATACCTGAAAGCTTTATTCTCTTCAACATGACAGTAAAGTACATTCAGGTCCTTTAGATCTTAAAGTAACCCCTTTGGGGTTTGGCAACACATGTTAGTTGAGCAATAAACATCTGTCATCTATCCTTCATTAGCATTAATTATAATGTGAATTTCATTAGTATTATTTATTATTATATAATAGCAATTATAATAAATTATATTGTAATAATTTTATAATATAGTAATTATGAGTCAACAGCACACAGGAACTAAGTCCTATCGGTGAGATTTTCCTAAATTTGAGCTTCTTGACTTTACAGGTATTCAAAGTGGTTCTTTTAAGAAGCCATGCTAGGTGTGTCAAACAATAATCAAAAGGGGGGGCGCCTGGGTGGCTCAGTTGTTAAGCGTCTGCCTTCGGCTCGGGTCATGATCCCAGGGTCCTGGGATCAAGCCCCGCGTCGGGCTCCCCGCTCAGCGGGGAGCCTGCTTCTCCCTCTCCCTCGGCCTGCTGCTCCCCCTACTTGTGCTCTCTCTGTCAAATAAATAAATAAAATCTTAAAAAAAAAAATAATCAAAAGGGAAGGAATAAACAGTTCCAACCTTGAGAACACGCTGCACTGGAGGTTAGATCGCCCAGAAGGCCAGGAGAGACATGGCAGGAATGCTGCAGGACTGTGGAACATTCTGGTGCCCTTGACCTGCCTGCTGTTCAGATGACCGGACCCCTCCAACTCATCTGGCCTGTCTCCCACGCCCTTTTGTCTTCTCTCACAACCCAAAGTAGGAAAGTTAGGGATGGTGCAGGGTTGCCAAAGACAAGCTTTGCCTTCTTAGGATTTAAATTGAAAACTTTCTGGGATTAAGCTGGCTTTCTCTAAGGCCCGTTGAGTGTGGTTTGACCGGGACAACCAGGAGCCGGGCGCGGGCACACTCGCTGAGGCGAGCCAGGCAGGCCCACCCTGTCCCCAGCCTGAACAGGGAGACCCCGCCCGGGCTACGAGTTAGCTCGAGGCTGCCGGCAGAAATGGTAACACAAGCCCACTGTCCCTTGAATTATACATTTCAGGAGCTGGAAGCCTTGAGGAGCCAGAGGGACATTCGTGCCAGGGCAGGGGAAAATGGTTCCAGCAGGGAGCAGGACCCAAGGAAGGAAATGAATACCAGGGAGGCAGGGAGGCCATGACCGTCGCTGTTGAGATGGAGCAGGGCCATTTCACCTCACCTGGCAGGAGCCAAAGGAAGCTGGTGATAAAGTCCAGGATCCAATTCTCTTCGTGCTTAATATTCAAGAGATAATGCTGAGCACCCTCGGGATTTAAAGCAAGCACCCAGGAGGGGGTTTGAAGAAGCTGGCATCTCCTGCAGAATTCCTCAACACACAGAGACTAGACCAGCTGTCCTGGCCTGCTGCTATTGCTCTCCTGAGTCCGAAGTCCTGGGCTCCGCTCTCCCGGGGCAAGCCCAGCACCAGCAGCTCCCAGGACATTTGCTTCGGACCGGCATCTTTATTTTATGGAACTGTAGACGGCTTCAGAGTTTCCAAAGTTCTGCCACAACCAGCATCTTCTTTGGGTTCTGTACCCCAAAACATACTTGGTGCAGTACTATTATCCCTATGCTTAGATGGGGAAACCATTCATTTGTTCATTCATTCACTCAACAAGTACACTGTCAAGGATCTCCTAGGCTCCAGACCCTGTGCTGGAAGTGAATGCAGCTCAGAAGGGTTAATGACCTGTCCAAAGCCACAGTCATATACAGGGAGTGGCTGTGCCGGGATTGGAACCCAGTTCTCTGACACCTGAAGAGGAAAGAGGCCAGAGCTCTTCCTCTGTAATGTCCCTCAGTGGCACCCTCAGCACTTGTGTCCTCTAGACTAGCACCCCAGATGACCAGTGGCAGAGGGGTCCCACTGCAGACTGACCAGGGTCAAATGGAGTGACGGGGCACAGGACAATGGGAAAGACATAACGATCTTTTTTCTTTTTTTTAAAGACTTTGAGAGAAAGAGAGAGCATAAGCGGCGGGGAGGGGGGCAGCAGAGGAAGAGGGAGAAGCAGACTCCCCATTGAGTAGGGCGCCTGACATGGGGCTCGATCCCAGGACCCTGAGATCATGACCTGAGCTGAAGGCAGAGATGCTTAACTGACTAAGCCTCCCAGGTGCCCCAGGACATAAATAGATCTTTCTGGCTCTCCAGACCTCACTCCCATCCCACCCACCATTCCAACCCTGGCATCAACCCTGCCCTTCACCGGGAGGAGGACCAGAGGGAGTTCCAGAAACTCTTGCCCCAAGGGTTGCGCAGCCCTGACCCCCGGGGACCAATGTTTCTGGGGTTGGAGCCATTTTTTTTCTGGTGGACCTCTAGGTAGTAACCCTCTGGCTTCCCTCCACAATCAGGGGGCAGGAGGGAGAAAGAAAGGAGCAAAAGTTTACCACAAGGAGGGCAAGGGAAGCAACAATGAGGAAGGAAAGAGGAAACAGAAGGAATGCCATTTAAGACATTGCTTTCTACACACATACACACAAAAAACTCCAATAATAGATGATTTCCCAGGTTGTTCTTTAGCTTTCTCCTTTGTCTTTTTGTTTTTAATTGTTTGATTGATTGGCTGATTGATTGGTTTAGTGCTAGAAGGTTGGAAGAAGATAAAAGAGATCGCAACTGCTGGGGGGAGGAGTTGAGAAGAGAGAAGCGATTAGACAAGTACCTGGTGAAAGGTAGTTTTTTTGTTTCTTGTTTTGTTTTTTTTTTTAAGATTTTATTTATTAGAGAGAGCGCACGTGCACATGAGTGAGTGGGGGTAGGAGGGCAGAGGCAGAGGGAGAAGCAGACTCCCCGCTGAGCCGGGAGGCCAATGAGGGGCTCGATCCCAAGACACCAAGATCACCACCCCAGCCGAAGGCAGACGCATACAGACTGAGCCAGCCAGGCGCCCCTTTTCTCCATTTTAATCTAATGTACATTCGCCTTCACCCAGTGGGAAGCAACAGCTGCTGAGAGCCTTCCAAGCACTGAGAGCGAAGACTGACTCCGTGCCAAGAACTTTCTTCCTGCTCTTCTTTAACCCGTATAGCACCTTGATGAAGGAGATGTTAGGACCCCTGCTTTACAGATAAGGGAACTGAGGGTCAGGTTATTCACCTGCTCCCCTCATGTCACAAGACAAGGCAATTGATCAGGGCTTCAGTTCCAGGCCTGACCCCACACTGCCTCTCTGCCCACACCACTCCCCCAGTCTGTCCTCCACAGCAAATTCGCAGATTTTGTCATTGACTGGAGAAGGTTAGGAAACGCTGCTCTGGGCAGTCTCTAGGGACTCGGCCAGTTAGCTCCTTCCTCTCCTGCTCCCACTATGGTGCAAACATGGTTTCCCCCACAGGCCTTTGTCATTTGTCCTGGGGTCTATCAGCTCCCATCTTTACCCTATCCCAAGCACCCCAGGACTCGGCTTCCTAAACCTCAGCCAGAACATTATTTTACAAGGACACTCACCAACCTTGAAAGGCAAGTACCCCAAGGCAAGGAAATAAAATTAATGTGGTTGAGCAGCACGAGAGTGCAGCGCCACCTAGCGGTTCTGGGGCCAAATGGTCCCGGGTGGTGACATTTTCAAACAATCAATATTTCATTATTAACCATAATCACAACCTGATGTTTACTTTTGGAGAAATGGTCAGCGGCAAGGAATGCACAAGCACTTTTCTGCATGTTTCAGAGGTCTGCGATCCTAAATGCCACAATGACTATTAAACAGTGTCCTGCCCATGAGCAAACAGGAGGGAGCAGATTGATTGTATATCTTTTTCATCTAAGCTACTCACCAAAAACAAAGCATCCGCTGAAGCCACTGACCTTTCACTAACTGCTGGAAGGAAAATGCTTGATAAATAATAAATAGACCACTACTTGATGTTGCTTAGAACTATCTTTTAATTAAAAGAACAGACCAACTAGAAGGTCAGGTGACTGACATTTAAGTTCCGGTCTCAGACAAGCATCAGTCGAGGGTAAAACTCTACCCCAAATGTAATTTCACTGTCAGCCACCACTCAACTGAAGTCCTCTGCCTGTAATACACATGGATGGAGGGGACATAGCCTCCACTTCCTGCCTGTGCTTTCCCCTAGCGACCTCTCCATCCAAGTGCCAGAGCAGAAACAGTGTGGTTCAGCATCTCCACAGAACCTGCTCCAGCGCCGGGCTCACCCAGTCACACGGCCACAGGCCACACTGAGCGCTACCCTAGACTGTCTTCCCCACGGGAGGTGCCCTTCCTCCACCAGACAAGGTGACCTCAACCAAGTGGCTCACCGAACCTGCTCAGGCATCCATCTCCCTGAGCACCGTCAAAGGCTCAAAACACATGATGAACCTCGCCAATCACGCCTCCACCTTCTGGCTGTTCTGGAATAGAGCTCAGGAACACGGAGACCCCGAGCGAAGTAATAATCTCGTGCCCCTCCCCCCCCCGACACACACACACCGGCTCACCGCTCCTTGTCCCTAGCTCCACATTCCTGAGGCAGAGCCAGCACTTGCAGTCCCAGAGCCACAGCATGTCCCGGGCCCTAGAGCCCATGTAGTCAGGAAAACAGCCGGCCCGGTTTTGAGTTAGCCCTGCGGAGAGCCTAGAAGGATGGAAGAGGCCCCACAACTCCTGCGTGCCTATCTGGGTTCCCAGGGGCAGAGGTAGGCACCAGTGCGGGGCTCAGAGAAAATCTTCTCCCATTTGAATGACTTTTGTCAAAGAGAGAATCTGTGGAATGTTTTTAAGTGGCAAGCCATCACTTATTTACAGAGAAGGGTACCATTAAAAAAAAAAATCAGGAATCCTCTGGGAGCACCAAATTTTCTATAATACTGCTTTCATGATCACAGACACAG